CCGCCATAAAACAGAGTGACCATTTTTGCTCCAAGTTTGGTAAACCTTTATAGAATGAAAAGCTAACAGACACAGTTATCCTGAAAATTGAGACGCTCTGACGCGACATTCTAAACCATTTGTGAAGGTCAGACGGCGGGGAGCCAACCCCGATTCTCGGGTAAATGTAGCTATTATGTTTAACGAGGATTTCAGAGGTCAAAGATAATATTTTTAGAGAAATTTGTCCTTTTACCAAAGTACTTAGCTACAAGTCGTTTCTGTTCTTTCCATACTGTTAAAAATTTTGGTATACTTATATTTTGGAATAAAAACTTTATTATTAAATGCTTGCTGTACCCTGCCAAGCTTCATTATATCACACTGTGTTTGCATTCATTAGAAATGAGGAACAAAACTAGCGTGAATAATAGATAAAAACAATTTTCGAAATGGGTTGTATAACGAGTCAAAATTTGAGCTCAAACGGTGCAGAACTTTTTTAAATTTTGAAGCGTTCACAAACCAACTTAACATTTACATAATTCTGTAAGGCTTTAGTCAAGTTTGTTTCGTGGAGGATTTCGGGTCTGATGGGGCCCCATTTAAGCTGTAAAGACTTTTGATCAAACAGTGTCAGCAGTCACACACCACACACATTGTTCAATAAAAAATCATGGACGAAATAATCATCATTCGCGAAGGAAGCCGCGTTCAAAAGCTAGTCTTTATGCCTAGTTTTTCCAATCAATGTGTGATGTGATGATCACTGACATAAGCATATAATATTACCCTTGGTGTTCACAACACTGCGCTGAAGTGTCTTCACTTTAGTTTCTATTAAAAAAAAACCGTCTTATGCCTAGTAGTTTTACTAAAAGAGGTGACACGCCGCCGATTCGTTCGTTCTTCTGCGTTTTCTTTAGTTCGCCTGCAGAAATTAAATTCATCGTTGGATGTTTTTTTTTTAAAGACAACTCCCGCATTAGGAATATATTCCGTGTCGCGGGGGACTTTACAAGCATACATGAAACGGACACAAAGAACACCCAGACTATTGTGGATCACACAAAGTGTCGGCCCATGTGGGGTTTGAACCCACAACACTCGGCGTAGCAGGAAGCAGCGTGCCGTTTAAACCACTACGCCATCCGTGCAGTATATAATAATATATACATAGTTTATTTTCAAATATTATTTTCTTTGTTTAAATATTATTATGTTGCGGGTAGTGACGCAGAAGTAAAAAGAGCGGCAAATCACCCAGTCACCAACACCTTGGCATATGAACCTAAATGCTAATATTCTACTCTTTAAGAATCGTTAATGTATTATATAGAGGTTTGCGTTTATTGTTTTCGTTGTTTGCGTCGTCAGCTTAACACAGGGTTCTTCGCTCTGGTATTCATTTTCTGTTCAAAAATTCTTTTTAAACGAAATTTAAAACAAATAATAACCGGGTACGTTTTTGTCTTTAATAATTCAGCTGTTGCAAAATTATGATATTGACTACGTGACACGTGGTAAAGGCACTACCTACCTGTAACCCAAATTGGTCGAGCGATGCGGTAGCCTAACCTATTTGGTAATTTCCGTTTTTATTTTTAAGGATATATTTCCCGTTTTACCCATTCAAATTTCGAAGAAAGGTGGAAAATGGACATAAATGAATAACCTTTGGACTGTTACAATTGTTTAGTGTTACTTTCAGGATATTGATTGCCTATAAGAGATTTAAAATATATATTTTTTAAACTTTGAGGCTTTTTAACCATAAAAAGCTTATAAATGCGAAAGTTAATTCATGTTTTATTTTAATAAATAAGGAAAAGTATAACTATTTAGTAACAATATATACATTATGTATTGTTAACCTTAAATATATGTGTTAAACGGCCTCGTTCGTTATTATAACAATAAAAAATTAACAAAAGCGAACAGCCAAATATGTTAAAAATATTTAAAAAATACTTACATTCGAATACAATACAAAAATAAACATAAGACCTCGAAAAACTTTAATAGTAATATTCTATACTTACTAAAAAATGACTTAAAATTTAGTGGTTACTTGAATTCCTTTTTTTATTCACAAATGATATTCTAAGTTGGTTTCAAGAAATCGCTCCTAACCACTAGCTCGTCTATGGTACATATACACATTGTGTATTTTATGGACATACTTTAGGCAGTATATACTCGGTACAGTTTCAAGGTAACTCTAGTTTTAGGGTTCCGTACCTCTAAAGGAAAAAACGGATTTCTTATAGGATCACTTTGTTATCAGTCTGTCTGTCAAGAACCTTTATCTCGAGAGAGGTATCGATTTGAAATTAAAACCGGTATATTCAGGTCTACGGTCCCTTGAAGCTGTAAAATTATCAAACTTCTAAGTTAACGTAAAAAAAGATACGGCCGTTTATGACGCAAAAAACCCATATTCAACTCTTATGGGAATCAAAATTCATAGGTTACTTTCCGTTGACCTATAACTCTGAAATTTGGCAAGTAACACTATACATTTGTAAATATATCGTAAAAAAATATAGTCTTTATTTGAAGTAAAAAAAGTTTATGAAGTGAATTTATATTTTCGGTTAAACTGCAGCCTTAATAACTGGAGGTCTTTTAAGTTTTACAATTATGTCATACTTTTACTTACACTGTAATACTGATTGTTGAATGCGCTGTATTCTCATTGTATTCTGTTTGAGACTATTATATAAAACTAGCTGACCAGGCAAACGTTGTTTTGCCAAAAAAAATATTTAGGGATGGGTCACCCTTACCATTTAGGGGTATGAAAAATAGATGTTGGCCGATTCTCAGACCTACCCGATGTGCACAGAAAATTTCATGAGAATCGGTCAAGCCGTTTCGGAGGAGTACGGGAACGAACATTGTGACACGAGAATTTTATATATATAAAATATATGGTTATTAGGTGTCAGTATATCATCAGTAAACTTCTAACAGTGTAACTTATTTGACTTAGTTACTTCTTAGATAGATATATAATATATAGGTAATAATTTGACACATCCACGGACGGCAGTCTGAACCAAAATTAGGCAGAGCCTCTGCTATATTTCTTTTTTTTTTCTTTTGTAAATCAACTCCCGCATTAGGAATATATCCTGAGTCGCGAGGGACTTAACAAACATATATGAAACAGACACAAAGAATACCCAGACTTAGAACAACAATTTGTGGATCACACAAAGTGTCGTCCCATGTGGGGATCAGAGTAAGCTGCGAGGCCAGACTGCTGATTAACATAAGCACTTATGTATTGCTAAATACATTCATGTTAAAGATTAATTACACCAAAACACAGAAATTGTCGTGCTCATCACGCTATTGCGTAATCTGGTTGGGAATTAAACCCACGACACAAGCTTAGCAGTAGTTAGGATCACGAACCACTAGAGTTCAGTTCACTTTCAGTTTTTTGAATATTTTGTAACTCCTGCGACACAATTGTAGCTTAAATTGTTTTTTTTTTAATATTTTCAAGACTCGTATTTCTTCTGTTTGTACTAAAGATATCGACATTAAATATGCAGTTTTATTTAATATCAATGACCCCTATTTAAGTCTTTTTTCTTTTGAAGCTTAATACTTTATAATAGGATAATAATAATAATAATTTCACACATCTCACACACGGCCGTCTGATCCCAAACTAGGCAGAGCCTGTACCATGGTAATCAGACTGCTGATAAACATACTTATATATTTCTACATACATACATAATATAGATAAATTACACCCAGACACAGAACAAATGATCGTGCTCATCACACAATTATTTGTCCTGGGTGGGAATCGAACCCACGACCTCCGGCTTAGCAGTCAGGGTCACTAACCACTAGACCAACAGGCCCGTCAGTATGATGTTTCCTAGAAGTAAATAAATACATACAAATGGGTCGCTTAATATTCTATGCACGTTAGAATACTTCGTTCAATACCTACCGTTATCTACACACTGTTATTTCTAAGAAGGTATTGTTTTGAATTTTAAATTTAAGAGATTATCTTTAACTAGACACTCATGCGTTACCACGCAGGACGAATACACAAGATATTTGCGCCAATCTGAACCCTAAAGTCCTTCATTTAATAGTAATTGTACTTATTGACGGACGGATTAAGAATACAGAGTGTCACCACCCCTATTCATCCCGTGGGTGTCGTAAGAGCCGACTAAGGGAAAAAACTACTCATAACAACAGCACTGCAGAGAGAAGGAAAACTTGACACAAACCCTATACCAACCCGTCTGGCCAGCGTGGTATAGTAGGCCAAAACCTCCTTTCTAAGGAGAGGCTTATGTCCAGCAGTGGACTATTATATGCTGTTGATCTGTGATGTGAGGTTTTGGTCTACTATATGGCCTTTCCGTTTTTTAGTTTTCCTTTTCTCTTTCATTCGATAACGGATATAAAATTATTAGCGGTTATCCGAAATTTTCGGATAATTTAAGTCATTATTTAAGTTTTTAATCTACAAGTAGTATATAAATTATATGATTTTCTTTCTACTCATTTTTTAGTAAATCACAAATAAAGAACAATTAGTCGTAAAAGTGTTTATTATAGCCACTGATTATTAAACGATATCCATTAAGAAGTGCAAAAATGAAATTACAGAAAACAAAAACCAATTTACATAACTATTTTAGCCATATATTTGAAATTATTCGCTCTCTTCTAGCTAGGATTACTTACGGATAGAGTTTTCTTTCAGATACCCGATAGTTTCGGTTACGATTACAAAGTTCATTAACATTCCCGGCTCACATAGTAGACACAGGCTGATATCAGTTTGTGACCACATCCGTGTGATCCGGTTCAATTGTATTAGAATTTAAATTACTGTAATTTAATCTAAGTTTTTAAGTCACCGTAGTCCAAAAAATATTTTATTTCTTAGAGCGTTGTTTCACATGTAAAAAGTCTATATTAAATACTGTTAAATCACGACTCTTGTTTAATCCTTGTTTATCTATCATCAGTAACAGAGAAACCGGCGCCGGCGCCAGAGAAACCGACGCCGTTGCTCCACAACGGGCCACACGGCGTCCAGGTCGTGAACACAGGCCCCGATCACACATTCACCCTCAACGAGGAGGCGCTCCGGGAACTGCTCCTACAGGACGACATCAAAGACAGGGCGGTGGTCGTACTGTCAGTTGCGGGCGCCTTCAGGAAAGGGAAGTCCTTCCTGCTTGATTTCTTCTTGCGATATTTGAACAATAAGGTGAGTTTTGAAAAATATATGACGGGCCTGTTGGTTTAGCTAGTGGCGTTATCCTAACTGCTAAGCCAGAGATCGTGGGTTCGATTTCCACCCAGTGCAAATAATTGTGTGATGAACACGATCATTTGTATGTGTATATGTGTAATTTTTCTGTAATACAGCGGCGTGTGAGATCTGTGAAATTATTATTATCATGGGGTCGTTAAAACAGACTAATTTGCGATTAAATATAAGCATGGCTTTACTTTACTGTATACTTTCAGTATGGGTCAGACGGTGGCACAGACTGGCTCGGTGGCGAGGAGGAGCCGTTGCAGGGCTTCAATTGGCGCGGGGGCTCCGAGCGGGACACTACCGGCATCCTGATGTGGTCTGAAATATTCAAAGCGACGTTAGAGAGTGGAGAAAAGGTGAGTATGAAGTTTGGGCAGTACATACGTGTAGTCATATCATGTCCACTAAATAAAGTTGTCTACTGTATCGAATACATTGTACTGGCTTCCCCCGGTAATTTTTGAGTCGTCATATATCCAGGCAATATTCAATTTGATTACTATCTATTTAAAATATTACTAAATAGAGGTCCAGTCTTCTCGATAACCTCCCTATAACCCTCTCGATTCGTTCTTGGTTTTAGAATTTATAGTACAGCTATAATTAGTTTTGGTCTGTTGATCTAGTGCAGGGATTCCCAAAGTGGTCGATATCGATCCCTTGGGGTTGAAATCGGTTTCCCAGGGGTCGACATAAACGAAAACTGATCTTGGGTGTCGACGAGGTCTTAAAATCGATTGCTCTTAATTAACACAAGTTCTTTTTTGAAACTTTGAAGATACTGTATAAGTTGACTAATATGTCTATTTATTTTGATGAGGAAATGATGTCAAATTTACTCACCTAACACAGGGCAAAGTTTTTAAATTGATTAGTATTTGGTACTGACAGGAAAAAAACTAGGATTTTTTAAGTAATTTGCCTATGGGGGTCTGAGGTATCAGTTCATTTTGGATAAGGGGTCTCGTGCCCAAATTGTTTAGTATTAGGTACTGACAGGAAGAAAACTAGGATTTTTTAAGTAATTTGCCTATGGGGGTCTGAGGTATCAGTTCATTTTGGATAAGGGGTCTCGTGCCCAAATTGTTTAGTATTAGGTACTCACAGGAAGAAAACTAGGATTTTTTAAGTAATTTGCCTATGGGGGTCTGAGGTATTAATTCATTTTGGATAAGGGGTCTCGTGCCCAAATTGTTTAGTATTAGGTACTGACAGGAAGAAAACTAGGATTTTTTAAGTAATTTGCCTATGGGGGTCTGAGGTATTAATTCATTTTGGATAAGGGGTCTCGTGCCCAAAACAGTTTGGGCATCTCTGGTCTAGTGGTTACTGCTCCTGACTGCCAGGTTCCCTCCCTAGCACAAATAACTGTGTGATGAACAGGATCATTTGTTCCGTGACGTATTTAAAACTATATAAGTATGTTTATCCGCAGTCCGCTTACCATAATACTGGCTCTGTCTAGTTTGGAATCAAACGTCCGTTCATCAACAGCATTTAATAGTCCACTGCTGGACATAGGCCTCTCCTTAGAAAGAAGGTTTTGGCCTACTATACCACACTGGCCAGCCGGGTTGGTACATTGTCTGTGTGAAGTTTACCTTCTCTTTTTTTTCTGTTGTCCTGCGTAGTTTGTTCCCTTAGTCGGCTCCTACGACACCCACGGGATGAATAGGGGTGGCGACATTCCGTATTCTTGCGTCACTACATAAATAAATAATGATTGTATATATTTGTCCAGGTGGCTGTAATATTGATGGACACGCAAGGTGCATTCGATAGCGAGTCCACGGTGCGGGACTGCGCGACCATCTTCGCGCTCTCCACGATGCTATCATCTGTACTCATCTACAACCTGTCGCAGAACATACAGGAGGACGACCTGCAGCATTTACAGGTCAGTTTAGTTTCTAAGCTAACGTAGAAGATAAAGACCTGTATAATTATGTTAATTCAGATTTGTACAATCAGAGAGACAGAACTCGCAATCATTACATAGTGACTGCCTCGGTGATGCAGTGATAGCACATGCGACTTTCCGAATCGGACCAAATGTTTGTATGATCTGCAAATATTTGTTTCAGAGTTTGGGTGTTTTTTATGTATAATATGTATGTATTTACAAATAAATAGTATTCTATTAGTCAATCTAGTTTTCATAGTACAAGCTCTGATGTTTGAAACTAGATGGCGCTGTAAGTCAGATGTTAAAAAAAATGAAGTGACTTTTCGTTCTTGTAAGCTTAGATCTTTTAAACTACGCAACGGATTTTAATGCGATTTTAATTACTATAGAAAGTGATTCAAAAGGAAGCCATGCTTCGGCACGAATGGGCCGGCTCGACCGGAGTGTTACCACGGCCTCACAAAAAACCGGTGTTAAGCAATTCTTTGAAGTGGTGAAGATCAATACTGTAGTTATAAACTACTTTGGATAAATCAAACAAAAGGCAGCAGGCAATAGGTGTCCCTGTTAACAAGTCCCTACGCAATATAAATATACTAAAAAAAAACTGTTACAATGTGTGTGAGGGAGGTTACCGGAGCCCAAATCCCCAAATGATTCCAGGGGTGGCAACGCACTTGTGACTTTTGAGGTGTCCATGGCAGCTGAACCATCTGCTAGTTTGCCCCCTTTTTTCATAAAAAAAAATCTAAAATACGGGGCTGGAACATATTGGGCTTGGTATTATCTGATGATGACGTCAGGAGGGTCAACAGTAGAACTTGTTTTTTTTTTTAGTTTTTTTATAGAAAATCGATTCACAAACAAAAGATAAAGGTGGAAGCTGTCTTATACTTATCTTTATTTGCCGTAATAAATAAATCTTTTAATTATAATTAAACAAGTATAAAGTTTCAGGTTATCTTCTTCAATCTCTATTTAATTACGACACGTTTCTCTTCCAGCTGTTCACAGAATACGGTCGGCTGGCGCTAGAGGACAGCGGGCGCACTCCCTTCCAGCGGCTGCAGTTCCTGGTGCGGGACTGGAGCTTCCCTTATGAGGCGCCCTATGGACCAGAGGGAGGTCGCAAAATACTCCAGAAAAGACTGAAGGTTTGCTACCTTTTATATTACTGACATACTATTTTATTAAGTATATGTATGTACGTATATGGGTTCTAGTGTATGATAGGTTTATGTACTCGTATTTGATATTAGAACTACAAACAAACTCTAACCAAAACCTACTGCCTGTTCTTTCTGTATCACGCAAAGGTTGACTGGCAGAGAATGCCTTAGGCATTAAGTCCGCCAATGCACCAAAAGTGCATCATCATCATCAACAGCCTTTAATAGTCCACTGCTGGACATAGGATTCTCCTTAGAAAGGAGGGGCCTACTATACCACGCTGGCCAGACGGGTTGGTATAGTGTTTGGGTCAAGTTTTCTTTCTTTTTGCAGTGCTGGAGTCCTGCGTTGTTTTGCACCCTTAGTCGGCTCTTACGACACCCACGGGATGAATTGGGGTAGTGACATTCCGTATTCTTAATCCCTCACTACACGGACAGTGTATGATGTATAAATAAATATTTTTCAAAAAAAAAACTCACCCAGTAATGGCTATCTTATGTTTAGTGAATGTGCCAAGTCAACGTATTAAAACACATGCAATCCTTTGACTTGGACTAACGTTTATTGTAATTATATCGCAGAAGTCAACAATTATAGAACATTGAACAGATATTGTACACCAGTACCAAGTATGTAGTATGTCTCTGGCAGCATGGCTTCTAAATAGATGGTCCGATTTTAAAGTATTTTCTTTTTATTGAAATACATTTTGATCGAAGATGTTCTCACTTTCTCTGTAGATGACCATCAACTCTTTTCGAATCAGTGAGTTTTGTTTCAATAATAGAGTTATATTAATCATGACTGCACGGATGACGTAGTGGTTTAAGCGGTCGCCACGCCGCTTACTACTACGCTAAGTGCTGTGGGTCCGATCCCCACATGGGACCACAAATTGTTGTTCTGAGTATGGGTGTTCTTTGTGTCCGTTTCATGTATGTTTGTTAAGTCCCCCGCGACACTCGGATAGACTCGTAGTTATTCATAATGCGGGAGATTTCTTAAAAAAAAAAAACTGGTATTTTCTCTAATTGTCTTTTGGATTTTCATTGTCCTCTGTACTCGCAAATAACTGAGTACTTCATATTCCTCATATTAAAGCATCTTAAATAATAGTCTCTTAAATGTAATTATCTCCAGGTGTCAAATAACCAGCATCCGGAACTACAGTCACTCCGTAAACACATAACGTCATGCTTCAGCGAGATTGCGTGTTTCCTGATGCCACACCCTGGCATCAAGGTCGCCACTAGCCAAGAGTTCGATGGCAGATTAAAAGGTAATAAACATTTATATCAGAAAATCCTGTAAACATAAAACTCAAAAAAAAAAACCTGCAGTGAAAGAAATACGACTGCACGAATGGCGCAGTGGTTTAATCTGACGCCACGCCACTGCGCTGAGTGTTGTAGGTTCGATACCTATATGTGACAACACTTTGATCCACAAATTGTTGTCATTACATGTCTGTCTAATACGGGAGTTGTCTTTATAAAGAAAAAAAATAAACTTAATTATAATAATCCTCTCTTAAGAATCCATTCTTTGGAGTAATCATTTAAGTGGTCTGGATGCTTGTTTTCAATCGTAGTGGTACTTTACACACGTTCTCTACCCACAGACATCGAAATGGAGTTCAAATGTTCCCTACAACAGCTTGTTCCGATGCTGCTGTCGCCACAGAACCTTGTTCCGAAGCTCATCAACGGTCAGAAGGTGCGGGCCAAGGATCTGGTGCAGTACTTCAAGTCGTATATGAGCATATACAAGGGCAATGAGCTGCCGGAACCTAAGAGTATGTTAGTGGTGAGTGTCTATTATATTAATACAAGCTGACCCGGCAAACGTCGTTTTGCCATATACATTACTAGCTGACCCGCGCAACTTCGTCTGCGTCTCTCAATAGTAATACATTTTCTCCGTTTTTGAAACATTCTTCATTGGTGCTCCGCTCCTATTGGTCTTAGCGTGATGATATATAGCCTATAGCCTTCCTCGATAAATAGGCTATCTAACACTGAAATAATTTTTCAAATCGGACCAGTAATTCCTGAGATTAGCGCGTTCAAACAAACAAACAACCAAACTCTTCAGCTTTATAATATTAGTATAGATTTATAGGAAATATTGAAAAAAAAAAATAGGGGTGGGATCACCCATGTCTTTTAGGGGTATGAAAAATAGATGTTGGCCAATTCTCAGACTTACCCGATGTGCACACAAAATTTCATAAAAATCAGTCCAGCCGTTTTGGAGGAGTATGGTAACTAACATTGTGACACGAGAATTTTATATATAAGATGTATTATTAATAATATTTATAGGAACGAAGTTTTTTATCGCGCGTTATACACACTGAGCGGGTGAATTTTTTTTATTAATTCTTTTACAATATTTATTGACTATTTTGTCAATAATATAGGTATGTATATTATACATCACAAAACATGTTTGGCTGGCACTTAAAATAGGTAATGTCTGAGCTATAAGTACCAGCAACCTTCTAATGACACAATTATACAGTACAATACAATTTTTATAAAAAGACCGAAAAATCTTTTTTTTCCGACACTTTAAGTAAGCAGATTGTATAGCAAACGTCTACCTAAAAACGACACGAACTTCATTCCGACCGGGGGTCCATAGACCCCTAACGCTGGTTTTTATTTATTATATATTGTTTAATTTTGCTATTACTTTCCGCCATTCTTCTACACGGCAAAATTTTTATAACCACCACTTGGATTATTGGCATTCCACCACTGTGTGCTTTTTAAGACACTTTTTGCCTCGCACTACCAACCTGTGAAACAAAATAATTATCGGCTGCGGAATTTCCGGACCGATACTACCTTCAAACCTTCAAGAAATGAACGTATTCCCTCCTCAAAGGCACGCACTTGTGACTCCTGGCGTTCATGGGCGGCTTTAGTAGCTTTTCCTTGTGGTCGTTTGCCCTTTATTCCTTAAAAAAAATCATCTCCAAGAATGGACAGAAACCAAGTTTTTGCGTCTGTTAATTAGGCAGAGTGAACGGTCATTAACCATGTTTTTAAATTACAGGCAACAGCCGAAGCGAACAATTTGACCGCTGTAGCCGAAGCTAAGGAGCTATACACTAAACTAATGGAGGAGGTTTGTGGCGGGGCAAAGCCCTACCTCCAGTCGCAGCTGTTGGAGACTGAACACGCCAGGATCAAGGACAAAGCGATCCACGCTTTCCACTCTAAACGCAAGATGGGTGGCGAGGAGTTCAGTCAGGCGTATTTTAACCAGTTAATATTGGTAAGTGGTAGATTTATGTATATTTACTTGAGTATAAAGTCTTCTCCAAGTGGACTGTGGTGAAGTGTAGTGGAACTGTAATGTGGGCTAGTGTGTTTTTTTTTTCTTTTTCCATGTTTTACGTTTTACTTCAGTTTCATTTCTATTCCATCTTTTTTCTTTATCTGATTTTCTTTTCATTACCATTTTATTATACATACTTTGACATACTGGCTCACGTCAAAACAATGCTGTGGTATGTTTAATGATGTCCTTGTATCTGCCTTTAAATTAAAAAAAGAGTGGGGTAGGACAGGATTAATATTTCTATAATGAGTATGATCATTTGTTCTGTGTCTAGATGTTTTTCTGTCTATGATATATATGTATGTATTAAGAAATATTCCAGTATGTTCATCAGCAGTTTGGTTATCATTGCGAGAATTGTGAAGTTATACCTGGTGTCTTGGTCAAAGAGTAAATGAATCTGTTGCAGGACCTGAACGAGCAGTTCGTGCAGTTCTCAGCGCAGAACGAGAGCAAGAACATATTCAAGGCGGCGCGCACCCCGTCCGTGTTCTGCGCGATAGCGCTCGTGTTCTACGTGCTCAGCGGCGTGTTCGGCCTCGTGGGGCTCTACCCGATAGCTAACCTCGCCAATCTTGCCATGGGGCTGGCTCTACTTACGCTTGTTATGTGGGCGTACATCAGGTAAGATGCTCCAGATGCCAAGTCATAAGTGTGCCATACGCACCTCTATCAGGTCTGGACTGGTCTTCTAAGCGTTGGAAACGTTATTTAGGAATACAGGAGGATATTGTTAATTTTCAAAAGCTCGATATCGTTGGAGATGTTTCGTAAAAGGGACGGAAGTATGTAACAGGAAGCAGGGGAAGAGCGCGCTATTTTATTTGACCAATAAGTGCGTGTGTGGCTGTCGTTCAGATCAGTGGGCGTGTCAGCCATTGCGAGGCCCCGGGCTGGTAGATCGTTGCGGGGCACTTGTCTTTGTGTGTAAAATTCAAATAAACATGTTTTTTTACTTGGACATAAGCGCGAGTGCGCGAGGCCGTTCCTTTATTCGATGTAGGTGAGATGTCAGATGTTACACATCATATTTGCGATGATGATAATGATTTGTTTTGGTACGGTATCTTGTTAAGGAACGTGAATTTTGATCAATGGTTTCGTAAATTTAATGGTGTATGTATTCTGCGTTTTAGGTACAGCGGTGAGATGCGCGAAATCGGTGTTACAATAGATGACGTAGCTAATTTGTTGTGGGAAAATGTAAGTTCACATGATTTTTCTATTTTTGTTTAATATTTTTTAATGGTACAGTCGGCTCCAAAAATATATGACTACATCAGTATTAGCGATAGCAACTAGTTTTAAGTTAAGTAATATTGTAATGCGTCATACGATGTTATGATATTTTCTATGTCTAGAGTTTTCGTCAGTTTTCTGGTTGTTTACTTAGGATCAAATGAAAAGAGCATCGATGTAAATTAATTTGTCCTCAGATAATGAAGCCCACGTACCAGACGTGCCTGGAGAAGGGGATGGAGCACGCCGCACACGCGGCGGCGGAGCGGGCGCTGGGGGGCCCCTCGCCCCCCTCCCCCCCGCCGATGCCCAACGGTAAGCACAAGCACTTGTGACGTGCGCAAGCGCCGCGTCGCGCCTGCCTGTACCACTGCGGTGATGGATGATTCGTGTAGATACATAACTTAGTACTATTGTAATGTCGCGGACTCAGGGGTTGTCCATCGGGTCCGGCCGGGGCGGAAAATAGCTCACATTTTATTTGATTTCGGACTGTGATCAGGTGAGAATAAAAGTCAAGAAAAACTTAGATTATTTCAGAATGTTATTATTTTTAAAGCCTAGCAACGATTTTTTTTGTTAGTTGTTTTTTTACACATGTAAAATTAACATATTACAATCCTAGCTAATATTGTGAATACGAAAGTGTGTTTAATTCTGTTACGCTTTCCTGACTACTTAACCGATTATTTACCATAGAATGTTGCATATCACGGGGTACAGAGACTGACATGTCTATGCAACAATTGAATCCAATTTAATCAAAAATATACTAGATGGCGTTAGCAGTTCTTCTTACTCACTACTACAGCAGTCTCGTAATTTATTATTTAATAATAATCGCATATAGATATCTTTTTGTGTAAAATTCCCGTCCCAGTCACAGTTCGATAATGCCTGGCCTGCCGAGTGCCAAAGAACGAACCGGCCGGACTCTAGTCAGTATAGAAAAGTGTATGATAATACATTTTTCGTTTGTAGGGTTACGTTGACCCAAAATGTGAATATAATTGTTAAGGGAATGGTAACATAGTTCATCATAACCCGATTCATGTAAAATGCGTAAAATAATTGTGGCAAGACAAGGATGGAATAACGGCACCTCGAATATGTGAGTCTGACTGTACCGTTGTCCTGTACTTTCTCTGACTAAAGGATAAAGTATATAAGAAAAAAAATTGTACACTCAGTAGTAACATATATAAATTATATTCTTATTACGCTACGAGCGCTCACGGCCCGCACCGCTCCCGTTCTAGTCTTACCTCCACACCGCTCCCGTTCTCGTCCTAACTTCGATCCTCTGAGCTCTGCCGTCGAGCCCCTGAGCTCTGCCGTCGAGGACTTAATTAAAGAGTTAATCATAATCAGGATCTTTTAATACGGATGTAAAGGACAATAAAGTACAAGAAACTTTTATTTATGGCCAAATGTTATACCATTTTAAATATTAAATGATTTCGTCTTTTATACCGAGTTGAAAATAAATATTATGTACAACATACGTGTAAATTTCGTAACATAACCCGGGTAGAGAAATAAAATTTACATTAATACCATAAAAAATTATCGGAAATGTTGCATATGGTCTCCAAACTATGCTATGTCTTTGCGGACTAAGCCACTAAGGCCTCACGTTAATTTAGATAATGCAGGCCCTAGAGGTAAGTAAAAAAACCAAGGTTTGACCATGATTTAATGGTATTGAGAATTCTTGGTACGCGGATGGTAACCATGTGATGTTTAGTTTAACTTTTCTACCCTGGTCAACATCTTACATTTCAAACGTCATATTATCAAATTAATTTTGTTATTTATTTCATCCTTGTTTTAGCTCAAAAGCATAAAATTACAGATGTAATAATTTCAAACAGCAATTGTTAACTTTTCCTTAGTTCAATAACTTATAAAAAAATGTACAAATCTTTTTTTTATTAACGGTAATGTTGCCACTATCAAATGAGTGTTTTACATTAATTGTGGATCGTTGTTTGAAATTACGAATATAGATTTTGTCTATGTACACATTGACTATGCGTGAGCCAATATAGAATCTACCATAGTATCGAACGCAGCATGTGCACTCTATTCCGTATGAAATTGAGTTCACTTTTCTTTGCTCACATTTACCCTGGCACTCGAGTATTGCCAGTGCTTAAAAGATTGTTTGCGAACGGTAATTTTTTTTGCACTTTTGGCAACAGCGAGTACTAATCTTCTTATTTAAATTGCTGTTTCTTGCCGTTTTTTTTCAACTTCTTAATTGTTATAGGGCCTTATAAGCTATTCTAAAATGGTGTTAATTCGCTCGCTATTTCAATGTGTACGTGGTCTTTATAGTAGTTTTAATTATTTGACGATTTCATTGTCTATGAATCATGGAACATTATATGTTACTCTAAGAACATTGTATTGAATACAGGCTGTTGAAAAACTATATATTTTATTGAATGTTGTCCATTGAATAATGCTCAAGGAAGCCTCGGTCTTATTAACTGTCAAACTTATCAATGTAATGGGTGATAAAAGAAATTGCAAAATGCGGCTTTTGCATTTATTTTATCGATAGAGTCGCGAAGTCACAGCGATAAAATAACCGTAATTTTTATCGATATGTATACTCGAAAATACGGTTTTTACTATATACAACAAAATGGTATAGGTGTAATAAAGCAATAAGAATTTAAAAATATAATAGTAACTATCTGAGTAATAATTTTGTGTTATTAATTATAATAGATTTAAATAGTGCACAAAGCTGATTTTTTTTTTCATTATAGACTAACTACAAATAGAGTAGGAAAGCACACTCAAACGATCTACATGTACACAATTTCTTAGACATGGTAAGAATTACAGAAGAATGTTTTCTCTCTCCCTCTTTTTCTTTCATTCTTTCTCCCTCTCTCTCTCTCTCTCTCTCTCTCTCTCTCTCTCTCTCTCTTTCTCTTTCTTTTTCTCTCCCTCTTTCTCTCTCTCTGTCATGAGTGAGTGAGGGAGATTACCGGAGGCCCAACCAGCCCCTGAACTGGGGAAGGGGTTGGGCTACTTTGCTTTTCTACTTTATTTGTAATATCTCTTTGACTTTCACCTTTCGATAAATCATCTCTCACTTGTTGCGCTGCACTTGTAATCAATCATGTACTTAAATGCTCTGAAAAACTAACTTTTTTAAATCACATTATTCTTGTATAGGCCATAAAGAATAAATTGGTTTTTGTATGAAACTACTAAATATATATTTTTGCATTTTGTTTAATATTTATATAAGTCTTGGTGTGTTCAAAATTGTAGTCTGTTGCTCAAAAATTAGGGTCGTTTATTTTTAATTAAGTTACGGACTTGTGCAGACATTGCGATAATATCATCAATGCTATGTTGCCTATATATATCTAGTTGGAATTCTTATTATAAGATGGTTTTGTTACTGTCAGTTTTGCATGGATTTATTCAAGTTGGTTTGTGTCTAGTCCTGCCCACCGACAGCAGATGTCGCTGTCACACACACACACAGCGACATCTGTTGTCAGTTGGCGGGACTAGCTAGGAACAAATACATGTATTACGCTTTGCCGCTATTTTAGGTATAGTTTGGTAAGTTAGCAAATGAAAATAGTTTCAAACTCTTTAGATCCTTAGTTAAACTGTGTTGTTAACGATTCTATCCACGGACTGGTCTTTTAACGCCAGTTAACCGTCTAAAATTATCTGTATCTATATTACGAAAAAAAATCGTTAATTAATGGATCAAAATCATTATATAAATGGACCAAATTCAATCATGAATTCTATCATTTGTTACACGATCCAATTTTAAATCGAACAACATTACGACCCAGATATACACACTAAATTCTGTTATGTTCTAACATTGATCTTATGTGGCCGTCATAGAACAGTTGTACGTGGTTTAAAACTGTTGTCTTCCATAATCTTTGTGCTACGTACAATAAATATGAATGCCATTGTTGTTTCCAAAACTTTCATTTTACAAATCAAAATATTAAGGTAAATAGGGTGTTGACATAAACGCATGTTAAAAAAACGTAAATCGATTGTTTTAATTCAATCATAAGTACATAAAATTAGTTTTAAAATTCTCCATTATTTAACTATTATGACTAAATGCGAAGCTGTTTTACTAAGTCATACCCTACCAATAAACAAGGGGACAACTGTCAGCTATTATAAAAGCTTTTAACACGGCTTAGCTCACCTTAAAGTCGATTTTCATTTTTCCGTGATAAAAAATTGTCTAATCTATCTCTGGAACTATTTTAATCTATGTACTTCTATAGTGATGGAGTAACAATCATCCATACATCCAACCTCACAAATTTGCGCATTCATAATAATAATATTATACCCTTTTTATTGTATTGTCAAAAGCTCCTTTCTAAGGAGAGGCCTATATCCATCAGTGGACTACTAAAGGTTGTTAATGTGATGTGTGATGTCATTATATCAGTAGGTATTATTACTATTATTACATTATCGTAACTTAATTATATGGATTTTGCAATTTTTTTTTGTTGAATATTATGTATGCGTAAAATAGTGTCTTAAAAAGCCAAAAATTCGTCGTCATCCCTATTATGCCTATCTTGCACACATAATTTATTTCTAAGTTTCTTCCACGTATAGAAATAACAAGTTTGATAGGTCTACATAGCTAATAACCCTAGATTCAAAACCCGATTACTTAAACTTTTGAATCTCAGCACTCACATTAACTGTATTGCTAACTTACAAAACTGTTTAGTTGTGTTTTATTTAACAAAGTGTAAATAGTTCAAACATATCAGTGAATTTTTTATAAATATATAATACTTAGCATGTGCCAATCTGAATTCATTATAAATGAATGTACTCCGTTTGGCATGGAATAATAATAAATAATTCGTTGAGGTATTTATAGTTTATTTTGTTGATTACCGAATATCTTGTAAAATATTTGTATGCAGCGGTTGTGAGGCTCCGACCGCCACTATGGGGAGTTTTCATGTAAATACTTGTTTTAATACAATAAAGTTGACTAAAACTGTTTGTTTCTTTTTATTTATCCCTTTATTTAGACATTCTGAGGGACACTCAAAGGGTTCAACCCACTTGTGACTTTTTGGATTGCGTGTATCCATGGGCGTTGGTAGCCGTAGAAGACCGGGTGGCACGCCCCTCCAATACAGGACCCTTCGACCAGGCGAGGTGATCATGCCTGGTGGGCCGCGGCTTTACGGTTGATGTTGGGATGTTGTATATATGCTAATCGGCGAGAGAATTATTAATATCGCAATATAGTATTAGCAGTTACTCCGTAGTTTGGTGTGTCTTCGATAGATAGCGCTGTAGTATGTTTCTTTGTTTCACCGTATGTGGAAGTCGCCACAGTAGCCACTTACCATTGGGTTACATCGTTTCAATCGAAAGAAAAAACGTAGCAAGTATCTAAAAATGATAATTAAATCTGAATAAACAGGCTATCTGGTCCATACGATTCTTTAACTGAAAATAACATTTTCGTGCCTATAGAAGTATAGAGAATGAAAAGCACTAGATTCTTAACCATTTTTCACATAGCCACAGCCTCGTTAAAAATCTAGAAGAAATTTGGTTTTAACCACAAAGGAAGTCTACTTTTATCGATTCCGTTTATATTTTCCGTCTTAGGTCTTCATCCCTGGTTCAAAAAGTTCACTGATCTTTAAGTATGAAAATAGCTAATTATGACAACACTAATATTAGTTCCACGGAACTTCACACTGTTATCAGCGCCAAAATGGCGAAAATTAAATGGCCGAGTTTGATACCGACAGGTCCAGCGTACTTGTATAATAGAAGTAAATATGTATGTATTATGAATCTACAGAATAAAGGAAGAGTGTAAGATTATTCTACATGTTAAGGTTTTGTAAAATAAAGAATGTCCCAAAAGTATAAAATTAATATATTGCATTGTAGATACAGAGTTAGACAATTCCATATGTAGGTACATTAAATATAATTATATTATGGGTTTCAATTCCTGTTTGATTTAACAACATTGCTGTCATAAAAACTATTCAGTATCTTTAAAGTATTACTTACATATCACTTAAACATCAACAACAACAATGGTAATTTATTCCTGTTAAAGTTTTAATACTTTAATTATCTACATGTCATGACAGGTATATAGTTAAAGGATAAGCATTTTTAATGTATAAGTGAAACGACAAATATAAATAGTAGGTAGGTATATGTATTATCTCTATAGTGGTGAATCAATCAAAGTAAGTGTTACCAGCTCTTGAATGCGTTGCCATCCGAAAATCTTTATTTTATTTTCATAAATAAGAATAAGCTGTGTAAACGGGCTCATCCATTTGACAATCATCCGTGTAACTTGATAGGTGTTTCATATTTATTAATGAATTATTAACGTTGTGATCATGAATAACGAAGTAAACTGACAAAAGTATGAATAAATTTATCTAAACCTTTTGTGTGATTGTCAGAAACATACAAATATTTAGAAAAATTATAATCATAAAATTAACTGAATATGTTTAAATATCTGTAACATGTAGTATAAGCGAACAATTTTGATTGAAATATGTTTGACTTTAATAAACAACATATAGAAGAAACACACAAAAACAAATTAAGAATAAAATACTCGTCAAGGTTGTCCTTCCTGATCACTGTTTGATGAAGAGAGAGAGAAAGCTATCCCAATATCAGAATAAAGTGTAATATCATCGATTATACAGCTACCGTCACCTAACGACATATATACGAAAACAATAACAAAAATACCATTGACTCCCTTGTCCAATTATTTATTCCAATAGAAATAGACGACTAATATATATTTAATTATAAATATCAACTAATTAGTAAAAACAGGTAACACAAAATGTCATCCCCAAATTAACTGTGGGTGTGTAAAGGTTAGTATACCAAGCTTTTGCGTATGAGACATTAAAACGTAAATCAATTTGACAGGCAATTTGAGAGTTGACACATGTCAAATATGGGATCAAAAATTAATAAGTACCTACTTTTAATACAGATCTAGATAAATAACATATACACACACAGCCGCCTGATCCGTATGACATACATATTATAGATAAAGTACACCCAGGCACAGAACAAATGACCGTGCTCATCACACAATATTTGTCCTATGTGGGAATAAATAATACTTATACCTTCTAACCATTTATTCTCGTACCCGTCTGTCGAATGCAGGGCCGGATTAACCATTAGGCAGAGTAGGCAACTGCCTAGGGCTTCGCTTTTGCTATTTATTAATGAGGAGTTACGCATCAGTCAGTAGATGGTGCTGATGCTTTTACTCACAACACTTCATGAGCTGAATCTTATAAAAGGAGCCCCAAAGATTGCGTTGCCTTAGGGCCTCGACACGACTAATCCGGCCCTGGTCGAATGATGTCAACTTCAACGATCAAACTTAACCTAAATTAAAGATTTTTAATCCTCAAAGCATAATTAAGCTACTCAAACCATTTTTTTTTACACAACACTAGGGCTAGCGTCAATTATAAATATTATCACTGTTTGGCACTCTTGTGATAGTTACTTTTACAAACACGTTGTTTCGTACGAAAAAAAACATACAGTGGAACAAAGAACCTCCTCCTTTTTGAAAGTCTATGGTCGCGAAAGAAGGATCCGTACCGATGGAGGTATTTATTCCTACATGGCAGTTGTGGTGTTGACTTTAAGTGACTGCCTTTTGTACACATTTTGACCAATAATAAAATGTCTTGTTGAGGCTTCGATACGAGTATTGTTACGATTGACATACATCAGCAAAACAAATATAGATACAAAAATAGTAGGTAGGTGTTTAAGTAAAAGATCTTTCCGACAATTTCAGATTCGATAAACTTTAGACAGGGACTGTAATAAATAATAATAATAATAACTTCAGACATCTCACACAAGCCCTTGTGATCCCAAACAAGGCAGAACCTGTACTATGATAACCAAACTACTGATAAACATACATATATATTTCTAAATACATACATATTATGGATAAGTACACCCAGACACAAAACAAACGATCGCGTCCATCACACGACTACTTGTTCTGAGTGAGAATCGAACCCACAACCTCCGGCTTACCAGTCAGTGTCACTATCCAATCTTTGTCCGAAGTGTGTTGTATCTTTCCCAAACTGTGTTTGTAAAAGCAACTTCACTATGAGTACCATATAATTGTCATTTTACTATCACTAGGAGTCCTTCTTGTTGTCCATGTAAGTGGCAGTTGTCGCTGTCAACGGCGAAGCTGTATGGTACGGTGATCCGAACGCATGGTGGTGCACCTTAAACAAAACCATAAAATACTTGCACTTGTGGAAAAAAATATTTAATAATACATATTTATGACAAATTTATTATAGTTTTTTAATGCATTTTATTTAATCTGTGGAATTGATATCGTGAAAAGGGAAGGCATTGTGTGACAGGAAGACAGGGAAGTGCACTCTTTTTGATTTGACTAATGAGCGCCAGCGAAACCATAGTTGGCGGGCGTCCCCCCATAATATATAAGTCAAAATGGCGAAATTTGAAACGGGCGATTTTGAAATACCCACTACTACTATTAATGATATCTTCGTACTAAAACAGGCAATTGTCTTTACTTTAGCTTCTCGACTAATTTTGGTTGATTCCTGCTGCTGATGAAACAACAATCACAGCGGAAACCAACCTATATTCTATCGTAGCTTATTCGAAACTACTTATGTATGTATTGGAAACTTTGAAATTAAATAACATTATATTTGCCATAATTATCTAATTAGGAAGTCTATATTAAAAGGTGTCATAACAAACGCCAAATTAAACTACAAAGATGTATTTACTATAAAGAGTAATTATTTTACTTACAAAGTTTCTTATTTTGGCCGCAACATCGTCTAACTGCATGCCAACATCCCTCAAGTTCCCTGAAATTCTGAATTCAAAGAAAAAAATCGTACGATTAAAAATACTTAATACTATGATTAGGAATACGGAGTGTCACCACCCCAATTCATCCCGTGGGTGTCGTAAGAGCCGACTAAGGGAGCAAACTACGCAAAACCTTTTTTTTTTTTTTAACGTGTGGAAATCCCCGCGGACCGTCACCCCACCGGGGTTTGCGGCGGGGTGGTGTGTCGGACTCGGACCGACTAAAACCACACGGTGTGCCACTCTGCGCCTGTAATAGGAGGGATCCAGGAACAGCTGTTATTAAGACATCCGGACCCCTCCTAGCGCCGGCCCGCTCCTGTTGCGGGCTCCGTCTCAAAATTTTCCTCTCTTTTTATAGGCGACGTCCGGCACACGCGGACGCTGCCCCCTCGCGGCTGGCCAAACTAATGCGGGTGGAGGGGAAACCCACCCCGTCCACCCGCGGCCACACTCAGGGCGGCATGAGGCGGTGATAAGCGCGCCTCCGCCGTCCGGTTCGCCGGCGGCGGATCGGGTCCGAGTGGAGGTCGTCCTCCCGGGCCTTCTCCGCCGCCTCCTTCTGCGAGATTACTTCCTCGCAGAAGGTTGCGACCGCGGTAAAACAACTGTCGCTACCGGCCATGGAGCGTACTACGGCCGGTAGCGAGAGATCCACTCCGATGACTGCAGTGAGGGCCCGGCGCTGCGTCGCCCATGCGGGGCAGACCGCCAGCGTGTGCTGGGCCGAGTCCTCACTGCAGTCGCAGTGGTGGCAGGCGGGACTCAGTACCCTCCTAGCGACCGAGTGCAGGTACTTTCCGAAGCAACCGTGCCCGGAAAGCACCTGCGTCAGCCGGAACGTAAGGGTCCCGTGCTGCCGCCCTGCCCACTCGGCGATGACCGGCTGGAGAGCCTCCACGGCGGCGAAGCCAGCGCGTGGAGTCTCCAGCCGGAATAACCAACGAGCCATCGTGGCTCGGCGAGCGGCTTCACGCCACTCGCGCACGTCTTCGGGCGGAGGGCGAAATCCGCTCTCCGCCCTTGAGTCAGCCACTCGCCTATAAACTTCGGCGAGCACTTCCGCCTCCAAATCCCACGAGGGAATTTCGGCCAACGCGCACGCCACCTCCGTGGAAACGGTGCGGTAACCGCGTATGGCATTACCCTCTGAGGGCGCCAGAGGCGTGCCCTATTCTGGGCGGTCAGAGCCGCCGCCCACACCGGTGCACCGTATAGTGCCATGGACCGGACAACCCCCGTGTACAGCCGTCTTGTCGCGACGCTGGGTCCACCCAAATTGGGCAAAAGTCGTCCTAGGGCAGACGCAGCGCCGATCAGCTTTGGAGCAAGCTGTCGGAAGTGCCCGTCGAAGAGCCACCTCCCGTCGAGGATCAGGCCCAGATATTTCATCTGGGCCCGAACCGGTACGAGGACCGAGTTGACCACGATTGAGGCGCCAGGGGCCACCAAGACGGGGCCCATGAAATAACAGAGCTTTCGTCTTATCTAGAGCCACCCGTAAGCCCAGCGCCTCAATGCGCCCGACCACCAGGGAGACTCCCCTTGTGGCCAGGCGCGCCGCCTCTTGGAAGTTCGCCCCCCGGACTGTCACCAGAGTGTCATCTGCGTAACAAATTACACCCAGCCCGGGGGTTCGAAGGGCCCAGTCGTATCCTATGTTCCACAAGAGGGGTCCAAGAACAGACCCCTGTGGAACACCGCACGTCATGGGCCGACACCTCAAATTACCATCTCGGTCCTCGTACACGACGGTACGCTCCTCTAAATAGTCTGCCACTAGCCGCCTCAGGTACTTTGGCACCCCATGATAGTGAAGTGCTTCCCTGATGCAGCTGAATGGCAGACTATTGGATGCGTTGGCGATGTCCAATGACACCGCCAACAGCACGCCGCCACAGCTCACGGCCTCTTCGGTCACGGCCCTCAGGCGCAAAACAGCGTCGACTGTCGAACGCCCCGCCCGAAAACCAAATTGGGCGTCCGACAGATCGGGGCCCACCTCGTAGAGGTGCCGGACGATGCGGGCAGAGAGAACCCTCTCAAACAATTTACCCGCCTCGTCCAGCAGCACGATGGGCCTGTAGGCCGCGACCGAATCGGCAGGCCGTCCTGGCTTCCTTAATAGGATCAGCTTCCCGCTCTTCCAGCACTCAGGGAAACGTCCCGACGCCAAGCTAGCGTCGAACACCTCCCCGAGGCGGTCTGCCATGTGGTTGAGGGCTAGGGCCAGCACTCGGGCCGGTACCCCGTCTGGCCCAGGGGCGGTGTTCTTGGAACGGATCCGTAGAACAGCCGCCCCTACCTCCGAATCCCGGACGGGCGGAACATCATCCTCCTCGTGCTCCCCGTCGTCTCCCGCCAGGGAGGCCATCGCCGGGGGAGTGTGTTCCGCTCGTTGCGGGAAAAGGCCCTCAAACCACTTTTCGCAGGAAGCTGGGCTGGAGAGTCTCCGTAAGGGGGGGGGGGGGGGGCCGACGCGCGGAGCTTTTGTCGCGTTGCGCGGTAAGGGCGACCCCAGGGGTCACGATCAAGACCCTCCAGCATCTCCTCTCTCTTTTCTTCCTTGGCGCGGCTAATGGCCAGCTTCAGAGTTTTCCGCGCCTGTCGATACTCCTCATGAAGCCGGTCCTCCTCACCGTCTCCACGGTGACGCCGCCGACTGCGCGTGTAGGACCTCCGGGTACGTGTACAGGCCGCACGGAGGTCCGCCAGCTCCTGGGTCCACCAGGTTCCTTGGAGGCCGACGACCTCGAATGCGGGGCATGGCCGCATCGCAGATATGCGTAATCGCATCGCGAAAGCGACCAGCCCCCACGTCGACCTCCTCGGTCGGAGCCTGAGGAGACAGCCACGAGTGAATTATGGCTGCCTCCTCTAGTAGGTCCCGGTTCAGTCTGGCAACAGCCCACCGCGGAAAGCGGGATAAACGCCGCGCCACGTGACCCCTACTGGAGTCCTGGGTCCGGGAGAGCTCAAATCGGATATAGAGATGATCCGAGAGCGTCTCAACCTCTTCCAGGACACGCCAGTTCTCCAGGACACGCCAGTTCAAACTACGCAAACCCTATACCAACCCGTCTAGCCAGCGTGGTATAGTAGGCCAAAACCTTTCTAAGGAGAGGCCTATGTCCAGCAGTGGACTATTAAAGGCTGTTGATGTGATGTGATGGACCACTGTTTTGCACGTACGTACACAAAATGTATTATTAATAATAATTAAATTACTAAATACCATTTAATTCAACCACTCTTTTTTATCATATTCTTTTACCTATTTTCTCTTTTTTTTAGTCATTGGTTGGCTCTCCCAACTAACCTCGACTCATAAAAAACCATTCTTAAATGGAAACCTGACCCCACCACCAATAGCCATGTCCTCAAAGTAGTAATTGGCTATTTTACGAGACAACCAAATGGACTAATGACGGCCCACATCATAATACAAACTTTTTTAAAACATCAAATATACTTCATTACTATAATTAGAATGAAGACGAAGAAAAGGCAGAGTCGCAAACAAAACGCATGTCGATTTAGTGATAATAAGACTATCTATGAGCATTAGTCTGGGTATTCCTATTTATTTATAACTTAATGCCCAAGGCATTCTCTTCCAGTCAACCTTTAGGTAGTGTAGAAATCGTGAGTGGTAGGCGAATATAGGTTATAACACTAATCACTAAGATATACACAACACAACACACGTAATTTTATACACAAGCAAATACACACTATACACACTCACACATATATTTATATTACGTGTGTGTTTACAAAAAGACATATGTTTTTGTGTCCCGGTCCCGGTTAGAATACGAAATCTGTCATCGGGTCATCTACCTGTTGTTGTAGATGACCCGAGGTATGTCGGGGTACCAGGGACATCCTTTCTAGGGTATACCTGGTTCCCCGGCTATTAGTACCCGAGAAGGCGTGCGGTTTTAGTCGGTTCGAGTCCGACATGCCACCGACAGGTGGTATCCGAGGGGATTTCCGGACGGAAAAAAAAGGGGCACCTTAGTACCAGCTTCTCCCTCTGGACCGCAACCAACGAAGAGCGACTCAAATCGTCGATAGCCCAAACCTCTCCGATCGTCTCGATCCCTTGGCTTTACGTAGAGATGTGGCTACACTCTGCTTTCTCTATCGCATATATCATGAAGAGTACTCAAAGGAATTGTTCGGACTAATACCAGCCGCAAATTTCCGCCATCGTTCCTCACGGCAAAATGTTCATCCTCATTACCTGGATAGTTGGCCCTGCACTATTGTGCACCTTTCGAGACACTTTTGCCCCGCACAACCAATCTATGGAACGGGCTACCGTCTGCGGTATTTCCAAACTGATACGACCTTCAAACCTTCAAGAAAAGAGCGTACTCCTTTCTAAAAGGCCGGCAACGCGTTTGTGACTTCTGAGTTGCAGACGTTCATAGGCGGCAATGGTCACTTTCCATCAGGTCACCCGTCTGCTCGTCTGCCTCCTCTACCATAAAAAAAGCTCTTTGGAATAAGTTTAAGAATGTCCTATTTTATATTCGAAAACCCACGTAGTTAGGGTTTTAAACACCACAACTCTGCTCTGAGTAAAATAACTATAAACGCGTGTTAGTTCAATAAATATTTCTCAAAAAGCTGTTATAAAAAAAAAGACAAATAGACAAAATGAACCTGGTATATCCCCATACCGCGAGCATCAAGGCAGCTCCAATAGTAGCACCCTCTCCTACCGCTACCAGGATCTGAATTCCGAAGGTGGACGCCACTGCACCCAGCACGTATCCCAAGATCATTATAGTCAGGAACACGATAGGAGTTCCGAGGATCCGGTACACGTTCTTGCCTTCGTTGTGTGCAGCCAGTTGGGTGTACATCTCTTCCAGCTCCTGGATATGGAAGAGAACCTTGGCGATGTAGATCAAGGTAAAAGAAAAATGATAATAGAGATAAGAGTTGAATAGTAATTACAGGAAAAATTGATTATGAGGGTAAATTCAGTGTCTTTACAACTTCGAAGATTATTTTTTTCTTGATTTACCGATTCCCGTAGTCCGTAGCAGATAAAAAACTAGTGGTAGTGGCACTTAGCAACCGTGTGTGTGTGCAATTATGCGAGTATCCGGAACACTTATTTTATACACATTTAAGGCCAGCGGAAACGGTGAGGAGCGCAGCGGAGATGTTTTAAGACACTCGAAACTAAACCTATTGCTTTAAAATCCATACACCGGGCCCGAGGCCTCTCGGTCTGCGATGGCAAAAAGTAAATTCATCTACTAATCGTGAAAGAAGAGTTCTAGAAGAAAGAGTTCAAATCGCCATACCTTAACCAACTCGTTTCTAAAAGTGGCCGACATCTCTATACCCCCCATCTTCTTCTTGCTGTCGAAGGAATGAAGCGCTTTGTTCATAACCTTCCAATTCTCTTTATCTAACATGTCCGGCTGGATGTACGGCTTCGAACCTCCACATATCTCTTCCATCAGTGTCTTGTAGATATCACTGGCTTCTGACATGGCAGACCTGTTATTAGCTTCTGCGGTTGCCTGGAATTTTACACAAGAAGACTTCAAAATTTATTTAAAGATCATCAGGTTACTTTTTAGCCTACTAGCCACTTTCCTCAAATGTGGGAGTGTAGTTGGTGTGTTGGTATTCAAACCGCCAGATTAATACGAAGAATGTGAGGGCCTACGAAGCGCACTCGTGAGAATGTGGAGCTGCGGTAATAACTGAATGGAAATAACCTACCCAACAAATGAAAAAAAAAAACGAGAATTAACTATTTTTTGCCTTTTGCGTACACTATATATAAATATATATCATAAGTGCGACGCAACGCGATGCTTCAGTAAGTATCAAACAGGTTCAGAAAACATGTCGAGGCCTCTATAAAGTGCGAAGTTCTTGCATAATAACAACAGTGATAATAATTATACCTTTTTTATTGTCATAGCCATTGTTACAATACATTGGAACCCTGCCTCCTTTGGTACATGATAACTTTTGTTACAAGAGACAGTTTCTTCAGCCATTTTGTTAAAGCAGCTATATAATAAGATGTAAGTATTGTTTAACATCTGTGCTTAGTAGGCCACAGATGCTATACAGATCGGAAATAACATATCAACAACAGCCTTTAGCAGTCCACTGCTGGACGTAGGTCTCTCTTTAGAAAGGAGGCTTTGGCCTACTATACCACGCTGGCCAAACGGGTTGGTTCAGGCTTTGTTTCAAGTTTTCCTTCTCTTTGCAATGCTGTTGTTCTGCGTAGTTTTCTCCCTTAGTCGGCTCTTACGACACCCACTGGATAAATAGGGGTGATGACACTCTGTATTCTTAATCCGTCAGCACAGGGAATAACATATAACAGTTATATTTATTTAAGAAATAAATATTTAATCATCACTGACCTGTAAAATAGTGGTAGGCTCTGGCAATTTTTCGCTGTTAAATATTTCAATGTAACTGGTGAAGTAATTGAGCAGGTCCCTGGCCTTCACCTTTTGTTCGTTGATGGTCTTGGCCACCAGGTTCTCTGGCGCTAGCACCATCGGTACCAGTTCCTCCAAGGACTCCAAGAATTCTGGTTGTATGTCTATATCGTGCGGTCAAAAAAAATACTATTAATAAAAGAGTTATAAGAAAACATGAGTACCTAAAACCTTGATCAGACATGACGAACAAATAGATCTGTGGTATATTTTAAACAGATTAATAAAATAATCGACCAAATTTAGATGAAAATTGTTATTAGCACGTATATATCGTGCTAATAACAATTTTCATCTAAATTTGTATATTTGAGAATAGTAAGATATTTAAAAAAATTAGTCTGAAACTTCGCACAAAAGTTTTTTTTCATCATACCGCTCAATTTTCCCTTGAATTTAGGATCAGTAGCGACTTTGAGGCCAGGATGCGGCATCAGGAAACAGGTACATTCTTCGAAACAGCGTCTGATGTATTTCCGCAGTTTCTGGAGTTCTTCGTGTTGACCATCTTTTATCTGTTGTAATTAATGCCATATGAGAAAAAGAAATAATTTTTAAGTAACATAACTGATATCGGGTTTAAATCGCAGAAATATTTTGGGGGCGAAACCTTCACTTTAACTCATTCGAATTACAATAAAAATATGCATATTATAGTCGTTTAATGTAAATAACTGGCGTATAAAGTGATTTTATTGTTTATAGTAATATATGTATTCGTAGTGTAATTGTTAAAGCAATATTACGTTATAACAATTTCATTTAGTTCTTTATCGATCGGTCTATGAAAGAGGTTTTATTTGATTAACAAATAAATTAAAAAGAGTAAAAATTGAGGCCGGGACCGGAATCTGTATCTAAAATAATCTTCACAGTGTCAGCTACTGACATATTTGTATTCCATGGGTGTTTTTTTCATGTTCTTAAAAAATGTTTGCACCGATATTTACAAATAAGAGCGATTCCCTAAGGCCAAAGTCTGAGCATCCTTACATAGGTTTATCTAGATCTATATTAACATTTTATTCCAAAAGTTAAATCTGCCTTAGAACAAATTTAAAAGTGCTCATCCGAGTGTTCTAAAAAACTCTTCCCACTCTCGAGACTCTATACTATACCTGAAGTCGTTTCTCCAAGAGTTCCTTTCCTCCCTGTATACCATACTTGTGATCGTATGGATAACTCCAATCCCTGACAAGAAACAGCAGCTTCTGGAATGGCTTTCCTTCAATCTTGTCCATCGCCACGCAGCCATAATCCATGAATAACTGAAAATGTCACAAACAAATCATTCAACATATGCTAATATATCAATAGTATTTTTTTGCTAAGCGAAGTTAGTCAATTTTGTAAACCAAAATCACTATCGGTGCCAGGATAGACCCTTGTGATATCCCTCGGTTAAACAAATACTTTACAGTTCACGAACTGTTAATAATTCACCTTTAATACTTCATGATGAATTGTATTTCTTAAACGAGATGTAAATAGATTTTTATTTAGTTTATAATACATCTACGAGTACTATTATCTGCCATAGTGGTGTTTTACGTTAACAGAATCAAAAGCCTAAGAAAAATCAAAAACAGAAAACATCCTGGAGATTAAATCAAATGTTTTACTGCCACTGATTATCAGTAGCTACAATAGTTAAACTTGTGATACCTCTAGATGCTGCAGATCATCCTCTTCAATATTTTGCGAGAGATTGTAAATAAGAACTGAGGACAGCATAGTGGACAGTGCGAATACTGTAGCATTGTCCTTAACGGTTGATTCACTGTCGAATGTTCCTTGAGTATCCATTAGCAGGATCACTACCTGGAAGATAGAAGGAGTATTTTATTTCGAAATGACAGTAAAGATCATCAGCATTATCAACAGCTTTTAGAAGTCTACTGCTGGACCTAGGTCTCTCTTTAGAAAGTAGGTTTTGGCCCAATAAACTAAGCTTTCCAGATGGATTAGCAAAGGGGTTTGTGACAATTAAGAAAATAATAAAAATCCATTCAGCTTGATATTTTGATATCCATTGAAATCATAGCTAACATTGTAAATGGTACAAAGAAGGATATGTCCTTCTAGGTACCTTACCTTTTATAAAGAGAGAATGAGAAAATTAGTAGTTGTACAATAATCGAATGAAATCCTTTTTCTTACTTTCTCGCCGTTTTCCAGGGTAGCTTTGAATGGTTGTGACCATAGATGTATCCCCGTGGTGTGGCGGTCTGAGCCCCCCTCCCATGAGAAGCCTTCCAATGACTGTTCTGCCACACCGAGCCATTTGCCATCACCGTTACCCTGGTTATACTGAAACAATCATTTTAGGTGATTAATTATAAGTAGACTTAGAAGTTATGTCATCTGAAACCTCGTCACCTATATTTTGATTATAAAGAAAGAGAGACAAAAATTCTGAGCTCGTTCTGATACTGCTTTAAGGAAGTAGCACTGGTATTACGCTAAGACCTAGTGATCTACAAGGACGCTGAGCTGTCAGGATATCACAGTGAGAAAGGAAAGAAGAAACTAACTAATACCTAGCGTAATAATACATTATTGTGAAATGCCCAACAATTAACGAAGAATCGATATGACGTTTTGATACACATTCTAGCTGTAAGTTCGATTCTATTTATCATTTCGAAAACCTATAAATGGAGTGGTTTATAAAAAAATATTCAAAATCAAAAGTTTAATTCGATTTTTAACCGACTTCAAAAAGGAGGAGAACTTCTTTAGGCACGTTGGGCATTTCTGAACAACAAACAAAATAATGTGTTTTTACGAAAAAAAAAAACCATTGAACTCGCGACACTGTTACCGTTAAAGACACTTCTATTGAAGAGAAAACTTCTTTAAACTTTAAAATTTTAAATTTCATATTCATTTGATGATGATTTTCGGAGACAGACAACGGAACTCCTCAAAAAATGACAGCAACACAACCGCGATGCTACTAGGTTTTGAGTACTCTCTGTTAGTATTCTTTGAAGTCGGTTCAACTTTTTTTTTAAAGGATTTATGAGTGTAAGATTCATTTTCAGATAAACCAAATTTATTATTTTTTAACGACACACTACGCTACTATGTCTATAAGTACCTACTTTAATTCGCTTACAAAGGTATTGAACTTATTTTTATCTTTGATTTCGTTTGGTTGCTTATTATATACTTTTGACATTGACATGACCAATGGGCCAGAGGAGTGAACTGCTAATCGTGAAGTAGGAAGGTTTAATCTACTTTTGTGTCTTAGGGTCATTTTGGATTGAATATCTTCGCGCTTGTTGTACATTGATGCGCTTTTAAAACAAATGCTACGATCACGATACAATTTTTATAATTGGTTATTACTAAGTTTTAATACTACTCGGATCTAACTGTATCTGCTTTAATTGTCTAATTAAAAGAAGTTTTAACTACTTGCAGAACACATTGTTTCATATTCACATCGTTTGTCTAATATATTAGTATTTAACAAACCGTATAATCCAAGTACCGCAAGAAGAAGTCCAGTAAGAAAGACTTCCCTTTCCTGTAGGCTCCTGCGACGGAGACCAGAACGACACCGCAGTCCTTAACATCATCTCTGGTGAGAAGGTTTTTAAGCACCTCTTCGTTTAGAATGAAGGTATGCTCTCCACTGGGAGCTACAATCTGTACGGAGTTATCTGTAAAAGAAGAATTGTAGTTACTTAATATCAGTATCAGTAATGTTAGTAAACCCCTTTCTAAGGATAGGCCTATGTCCAGCAGTGGACTATTAAAGGCTGGTGATGATAATGAATGTCGGTATTTCTTCTTTCTTCTTGGTTTAGCGACTTCATGGCCCGTGGTGGCCACTTTAAAAGAAGGCCAAGACAAAATGGCCCGTTATTGTGTCTACAACTATTCGGATGTCGAGTCGATTTAGACTGAGTAATCTGAAGTCTGATAGGTGTTTGTAAAGGCTGGGCAGGCCTGTCCATAGTTCATAACTAAAAAGAAAATTCTTTGGGTTTTCGTTGAACGTAATAATTTCTAGAGCTTTAAGTCTGGTAGGATGATTTCTTGGTGCATTTGATAGATGAATTCAAGAAGGTTTTTATGTTATTTATCTTTATATAGCGTGCTACTACTCTTAGGAACTAAGTAGCGACCATAAGCCCGGGAATTGTTTGTTATAAACTTATAACTAAAGATACTTAAAAACAAACAAATTACTCATTGTCTATGATGATCCGTATTACTATACGGACGATCATAGATAATGTTTAGAGTCTATATTTAATAATTAAAAAGTACTTGATATAATTAAAGCACGTTGGAGGATTGTTTTTTTTCACAATCAGTTTGTAATTCCGAATAAATGTGACTTTTATTGAAAAATGATTGAATCTCTTCAATAACTAGATTGCGATTAGGTATATATTTCAAAATACATATGTACCTACATGGTATAGATAAATTACACCTAGACACATAACAAATGATTATGCTCATCACACAATAAAATAATACAGTATTTAAATGTAAGTTTACGCCAATAACTCAACATTTCAAGCATTATTCTTTAAAATTTTAAAAGACACAAAACTTCGGAACAAAATTCTGTGAGGGTTTTTAAAATGTAGCGAAATTTTTTTTTGCATTAGGTAATAAATGAACTAGAAAATTTTAATATAAAGGTATTTAATTATACTAATAAATAATTTAAATTGAAGTTGTAATAATGTCATTAACAGTTTAATTCTCAGTTGGTTCCCACTATATTAAACAATTTTAAATAATTCACATTGTAACTGTTGACCTCTAGAGCAGGTTCAAGAACTGACACACACAGTGAACATCGAGTATTACAATGTCGTTAAATTAAACGAAGAAAGAAGAAAGATATAGTTAAAGTAATAATAACCTCACACATCTCACACACGGCTGTCTTAACCCAAACTAGGCAGTGCCTGTGCTATGGTAACCAGACTGCTGATAAACATACTGATATATTTTTAAATACATACATAGTATATGTTGTTGTACTTCTAAAAAGGTATTTTTCTGTTCGTCTGGTATACTGACTATTTTGACGCGCCTGTTGGTCAAGTGGTTAGTGACCCTGACGTCAAAGCCGGAGGTTGTGTGTTCGATTGCCGCCAAGGACAAAAACGAGCGCGATCATTTGTTCTGTATCGGGGTGTTGTTTATCCATAGTATGTTTGTATTTAGACATATATATGTATGTTTATCTACAGTCTGGTTGCCATAGCACAGGCTCTGTCTAGTTTGGGATGAGACGGCCATGTGTGAGATGTGACAAATTATTATTTATTTCTGGATGAGAGGTATTTTATGTACTTTTCTACACCCTTTATGTAACGTGTAGTTTATGATGGGTTATAAGTTTTTTTTAAATCATTGAAGTATCATGACTATTTTGAATAGTAACTTTTTTATGCTCCTACAAGGGCTTCCAACTGGCAAATCACTGAGAAGAAATCTTAAGAAACTCAGGCTTTTTTCATGTTAATTTTGGTGTCGTTACAATCAAGGTAAGACAACATTTGTTAAAGAGAACAGTTTAAGTTATTTTATGTCACTGCCAAGCAAGCCTTCTCATTTAAACAAAACACGTTTATGCTACAATGCTTTGTGAAACAATTTAGGTTTAATAAATTAAGACGTAAAACCTAAACCAAGTAAACAAGCTAATAATTGAAAAAAAAAACCAAAATTCGTGAATTTTCACGCCGTCAGGTTTTTTGTTTTTTTTTTTATATTGAGCAAATCTGTCCTTGCTATTCACCGAGTGATAGATCTATCATTCTATGAAATAGGTACCAAGATATAATCAAATTATTAAGTCTATGTTTTGGCACCGACACTCACAAACATTGTAATCTGCGATTGCCAAGTTTAATTATTCTATTTACTGAAGAACAGTTGTGCAATAAATTATTCATTCTCATGCAGTTCGTAACTATTTCTAATAATGATGTTGTATTTAAGTTTTTTGTTATAAAATGAGTAAGTTTGATGATTCATACAAGGCTCCATTACACAAAACGTGTTTTGCCAATATTTGAATTTCGAATCTCAAATAGCAATTGTCATCCAATAATGTTACAAGTTACATCATTGTGGCAAAGGAAGCCACGAGTTATATCGATTTAGCCTTAATATGTGTTCGTTATAAGTCCTTTACTTTTAACACATACTTTTTTATTAGTGACTGTTTGTTTTGGGCATATGACGCCACAGAGGTGACGTAACAAGAGTAAAAACAAAGATTAATAATAATTTGAACATCACACACACAGCTGTCTCACCCCAAACTAAGCAGAGCCTGTGCTATGATAATTAGACTGCTGATAACCATACATTTCTAAATACATACACATTATTAAAGAGAAATTACACCCAAACACAGAAAAAAATATCGTGCTCATCACACAATTATTTATCTTGGGTGGGAATCAAATCAAATAACTAGTCTAACAGGTCCGTTAATCAGATTATTTTTAATCTATGCCCGTTTGTGTAATCCTGACTATATAAATGCAACATTCCCTCATAACCGGTTGAGTAGTTACGCTCAGAGTAACATCTTTAATATAAGTCTATATAGTACATTGTTGTCCGTGCCCGTGTGGTGACGGATGAAGAATACGGATTACAGACACACTGTACATGAAAAATTACCTATCAAGCTAATTTTTTTTCTTTTCTTATGTAAGAGGGGGCAGACGAGCAGACGGGTCACCTGATGGAAAGTGACCATCGCCGCCCATGAACGTCTGAAACTAAGGAGTCACAAACGCGTTGCCGGCCTTTTAGGAAGGAGTACGCTCTTTTCTTGAAGGTTAGAAGGTCGTCCGGAAATAGTTTTTGTATGCTTTTCGGGAAACCATTAACTCTTAAGCGAATTCAATTATGTATTTCAATATTTCTCCTTTACTATCTATTCGCCGAGGTTTCAATCGCTCGATTATTTCTTATTTCGTGTTCCTAACTTTGAAAATGACGAACTTCCAAACAACATCCCTTATTATAGCTTAAGGGTAACATTTTCAAAAATCCTTTCTTAATGGGAGCGTTCAATATAAACGACAACTCCCGCATTAGGAAAATATCCTGGGAACTTTACAAACAAACATGAAACGGACACAAAGAACACCTGGGTATTCTTTGTGTCCGTTTCATGTATGTTTCGTTTCACGTATGTCAAATTGTTGTTCAGTCAGTCAATCAGAGCAATTAATTTTAAATGTATTTATACCACGCACGAGTTTTAACGTCCGTGTGGTGACGGATTAAGAATACGTAATGTCACCACCCCTATTCATCCCGTGGGTGTCGTAAAAGTCGACTAAGGGAGAAAACTACGCAAGACAACACTGCAAACAGAAGGAAAACTTGAAACAAATATGTTGCAAAAACACGGGGAAAATGTATTCCTTTCAAGAGGCGCAGAGGAAGTTGCGTGCCAGCAAGTGAATTATGTCAGTACAGCTAAATGAAACTATAATTTCATAAAAATACATCAATACTGTCCACATATATGACATTATTGATGTATTTTGACGTATTCTTGAATTGTCACCACCCCCACTCATCCTGTGGGTATCGTAAAAGTCGACTAAGGGAGAAAACTGCAAAGAGAAGGAAAACTTAACACAAACCCTATACCAACCCGTCTGGCCAGCGTGGTATAGTAGACCAAAACCTCCTTTCTAAGGAGAGGCCTATGTTCAGCAGTGGACTATTATAGGCTGTTGATGATGTGATGTGATGACGAGTTTTTATTCCAAATTATAAAACTCTTCTAATATTTGACTACACTTAATGTAACACTTTGTATTACTATATGGGCTAGAAAGGCTGGTAATTAGCGCTATATTGCGAGTATTAAGTATCGGTCGGTACACATTATACACAAGTGTACCTATTGATGCGGGATCAATCTTTGTTCATTATCAACAAGAACTGTAATTATTTATTTTAATGTGTCTACGTGTAATCTGTAGAAACATACAGATAATAGTTTTCTTTGTATTATTAATTGTTATCAGACGGCCGTGTGTGACATGTATTAGGTTATTGTTTTAGAAGAAAAATCTTATCTATACTAATATTATAAAGCTGAAGAGTTTGTTTGTTTGTTTGTTTGAACGCGCTAATCTCAGGAACTACTATTCCGATTTGAAAAATTCTTTCAGTATTAGATAGCCCATTTATCGAGGAAGGCTATAGGCTATACATCATCACGCTAAGACGTATAGGAGCGGAGCACCAATGAAGAATGTTTCAAAAACGGAGAAAATTTATTACTATTGAGAGACGCAGACGAATTTGCGCGGGTCAGCTAGTATAATATATACAGTTGAATCAAATTAATTGTTACTTCTTGCTATTCGGCGGATTATTCATTTTCTCCAAATTACTTATGGATGAATAATAATAAGTTAGAGTCAAGTCAAACTATTAATAAAAGAAAATTCGTAATTTCATAAAACCCTCTTTTTTTATTTGAAATGATAAAATCACTATTTGCCAGAATCCATTTATAATCGACCGTTTTCAAGTGGGTAGTTAAGCATTATTAGAAAATTCCAGAAACTAGTACTTAGGTTATTCAAGAAATAAATTTGTTATTAATGTTAATTTAAATATGTAAAAATATTAGTCCCATCATTCG